ATGTTTATTCAGTAAGGTAGTTTCAAAACGTGTATAATTCATAAGAAAGTAATACAAAATATATTTTAAACTTAAACCTATCACACAATATTATTCACTGTTATATTATTTGTAAAATAGCAGCCTAATATTTGTTTGTATACCTACCTATTACAAGTGTTCAGAAGATGTAGAAGTAAGTACCCAACCTCAGTCTCCCCCCGTGGTAGATCGAAGACCACAAAATGACCGACCTCACATAAGTGGTCAGTGGTGGGGTAAAACCTCCATACAGTTCACGTTAATTTATTCATTGTTCAGATCAGCTGTAGTCTTCTGTTCTTTGCCCACAGTTCGGTTTGAAATGCAAACATCGAGTCCAGCGGAAGTTCGCTTCAGGCGTATTTCAGTTTTATTACGGTCCAGTGATACCTTTTTATGGAAGCTTGCAAACCAAAATGGCGCCGCATCGCGGCTCTGGGTTTATTTGTATCGGGTTTTATTGGTTTGTATTTATTTTGGTCAGCGTTTGTATCGTATGGTTGCCCGCTCGATTATGGAAACTATTAGAGATTGGGTTCGTAGGACCGAGGTTTTTGAAGCGTGGTTAATGTTGCGGTTGGATACAACGTGTTTTTATGAAATTTTAATACGTATTTTATGTAATATTCACGTTGAAACTACGGAATATTGTTTTTGAACTCATTCATGTGTTGTATATCGTATATGTGGTTTTTCATGTGGGCTATCGATCATTTTGTGTTAGGGCACATCACCCTTGTTAGCGTAAGGTTTTCTAAAAAAATACTCCATTTTGATATTTAAACATACTACCTCGTTTTAGTAGCAAAACATGTCCTTGAAATTACGCCGTTGACTAGGTGTTTTCTATCCATGAACAATTCATTACTGAAGGGTCTATTGCTACTAAACCTACAAGTCTAAACGTATGATTTATGAACTTACTTAATAAAGAAACCTCTCTCTCCTTTTATCATACATTCTTAGAAACATAGAATCATTATCCTTGTCCTACTTAGTCCTAAACCAGTATTCTGTGGACAAGTGGATAATAACTTAGTTGGGTGATTTTGTGGAAGACACCCATGACGCGCACTTAATTCATTTCAAAAATTGTTATTTCACCTCGTTATTTGGCAAGGCGCGCCTAGGCAATACCCGCCTGAGAGCTGTGTAGCTGTATTGCTTGATTGCGTCGCCAGGCGCGCTGCCAGCGCACATCACGTGGCTTCTGTAACCATCACCGCTGAATACAAAATCATATCGCGTTTGAAAGGAAGCGTCGGCTGTTTGAATTACTGATAAGCATCTGGAATCTGATAATCCACAAGTGGCTGTGATACGTTCTCGCTAACTGTGAACGGCCTAATTGAGAACACTCCATTGGAATATTAATCAAAGCAATTCAAAGCCTCTCCCCCCCTCCTGTAGCCTTCGTTCAATGATTTGGTGTTGTTTCTTTATTTTACTTCTTTTATTGTTCAACATGATTTTTTTTCGTTTTTGTACGCACAATTAGTTCACAATAATTTTCTTATTTTAATTGTTTAATTTAAGTACTTATGATGCTGTTAGTGTTCAACAAGCACTGAACAGTTTTAAGTGTTTTGAACTGATATGGTTTAAGTTTTTTTTAATTGAATCTAGTAATTTTAGTTGATTTAATTATTATTTAGGTGTTTAAGGTCCATTTACTGCAAGTGTGTGGGCCTCTATGGAATTGAGTGTACTATCATATGTTCGTTAAACTATTGGAATAGCACTAAAATAAAAATACTTAATTGACGTTTTTAAATATTCTTGTTACATTGAGCAAACTCTTTGTATACTGCTGTCGTAAGACATGTATATTTCAAAATATTATAAGACTGTAATAATTAGTTTTATGTAAGAAACACGACACTAACACAACAATCATTTTACAATTTATTATAATAATCATCACTACAACATTATTATTCGCACGCAAGATAAATTACATTGCCAATCTCTCCTTTTCAACCCCCAAAGGAATGACGATCGGAATCAATCATACAACATTTATGTAGGTTTACTATGTAAAAACGTTCTTGCGACTCTATAGACAAAAAAATTTATAAAATTCAACAAAAGTTAAATCTCTTTAAACGACTAAAACAGATGAATTCAAAGCAAACCAAACAAACCACGCGGAGTTTATCAGAGTAAAGGTGTAAGTAACGATTCACGCCAGTTTACATGTGACACAAGTGTGAGCCAAGTTTCCAACTTTGACACCCCCCTGCCCCCCCTCACTTACCCCCTTCTTGTAAATAGTTGAGATGTCTATAAACAACCCTCACACAGCCTGATAGCTCCCCCCCCCTACGAGGGGGCTCCGTGGTTACAAACGTCAAGGGCCATTTATTATTTACATCGTCATTGTTGTCTTATTCCATTCGGTACGGTCCGTTTTACCGGTTCAGTGGTTTTAAACTTGTGCAGCGGGGGGATTGTATTAAATAATTAAAATGTTTGCAGTATGTTTGTCTGTAAATTTGATTTCTTCTCCTAAAGGGTCTATTCATAATTTAGATTACATTAATGTGGTGCACTTGCATTGCATAGATGGTTGTCCAAGCAAATTACAACTTCAAAAATTAATATCCATTTTTTAATATATTTTAACAGTTGATGTAATCAGTGGCTTATGCAGTTGTATTTCTACTTATATCAATTGATGTTATATATATATATCTTATATTTATATTTATGTTATATTTAACTTCTTATATTCGATTTCCTCACTCTAAATAATTATTTGGCTCGTTCAGCTCTCCTCTTAAAAAATATGTTTGCCATTGTCTTTTCCTAAATCGGTTTTAGTTGTGGTGTAGGCCTACACTTTTCGTACGATGAACAAAATATATAATTTGAACACTCAATAATTAAAGTTAATCTTAACACTATTTTTACCACAATTTACCACAATTATTAGTGTTAAGCGTACAAGTGTGTACACATTTTTGTTAACAAGACTTAGTCTCTAAGCTTACCTGGTACATGGTTCTTAAGAGGTATCGATTCTACAAAGTTCAGTGTTGTTTTGGTGTTATGTTTCGATTAAGCGGTTAGAAAACGTTAAGACGCTTAAGACTCTAGTCTCGGGGTTAAGAGGGGCTTAGCCTCACCTGGGATACAACCACGCCTGTCGTCTCAGCGATATCGATAGATTTAACGATAAATTCTTCTATGTATCCATGTCGATATGTGTAAATACACGTGTTGCATTGCATGTTTATTCACATCGCCTAACACTCGTAGCATCAGATCTTGGATCTCTAGATTACTGTGTGATTTCTTTTTCTACAAATCTGTCTCACACATATGGTGAAACTTTTGTTCTTTTGTTGTAGCTAAATCTTGCATTGAATGTAAGTGGAGTAGTTTACTTTATTTTCCCTAAAACTTTTTAACAATCGATAAATATGCCACCACAGGCTGTAATTACGTTGTTTTAATTGAAATTACAAAATAAGATTATTAATAAATAAGTGTAAAGGACAACAGCAGTAAATTTTTATTTTTACTACATTGCATATTAACTAATGTGTACCATAGTAAATGCTTCGCGAAAATCATCCATAAATCAAAGAACCTACTTGTCGTATTTTCCCTATTTATGATGCGATTTTTTAAAGCTGGTTTTCCTTGTCAATATTAAGAATACTACACAATTTGAAACGTCCCTCCTTCTTACTGATAAAATCGCTGAAACTCGACGAGATGACAATTCAGAGGGGAGAGGTGGATAAGAAGATAACAAGAAGCCAACGCAGCCTCTCTTGAACCGGTTAAGTTATTTATAATGACTATCGACCTGCATTATAAAAGTAGTCCGATTAGCCCTAATTAGCAAGTCCTTGGAGTAATTGGTGGTGAAGTCTGTAGCAAGCCGGGCCTCTCTCGGTCGTCTCCTGTTTCCCCCGTCTTAATATTTTATCTCCCATTTGAGCACTATGTTTCCATCCTTGAGCTTACATGTTTACTGTGTAATATGCCTGCATATGTGTAAGACATTTGTAGTTTTACTACAAAATGTACGGATAATTCTTAGTTAATTGTTTGAATTGCAATCGTATTAGAGATTACTTTTCCGCACCGTGTATTATGTTTTTAAGAAATTTACACAATGATACGACAAAACTAAATCTTATTCCTTATGGGTCGCTTAATTAGTAACAAATTATTAAAACTTGGTTTATTTTGTCTTTTAGAAAGTGATATTGATTGTGTTCTATTGCTAACGAATCATCCATCATTCACAATCCTGTAGAACCCACTGAAAGCTATATCAGAATCGCGTACAACGACTAAGACTTAATCGTTTATTCGCAACGAATCACACAAAACTCCTTCCTCGATCATAATTTGCTTATAAACGTAGCTAAATATCGTAGTAATGTTGATAATAGTTACACAGCCTTTACTTCGTAATGTATTACGTTATTTGTAATTATGTTCGCCTATTATCAAAGAATGAAGAATTCAAAGCTCGAAAGCAAAATCTTTAAAAATCACTATCTTCTCAAGGTGTCGGATCTGTCGGATGAAACTTAACATGTTGTTTAGTTTATATTTTTTTGTTACAAAGGGGTGCGTAATAGTTCCTAAATTGACTTGTGCTGTTAAGAAATTAGACTGGTTTCATGCTGTTGTAGTTGTTATATGTTGTTCAGTTATATTTATTGTTACAGAGGGGCTCGGACGAGTTGCTGAGCCAGACGGGCGGTGCTGTTGTTTCATGCTGTTGTTGTTGTTATATGTTGTTCAGTTATATTTATTGTTACAGAGGGGCTCGGACGAGTTGCTGAGCCAGACGGGCGGTGCTGTTGTTTCATGCTGTTGTTGTTGTTATATGTTGTTCAGTTATATTTATTGTTACAGAGGGGCTCGGACGAGTTGCTGAGCCAGACGGGCGGTGCTGTTGTTTCATGCTGTTGTAGTTGTTATATGTTGTTCAGTTATATTTATTGTTACAGAGGGGCTCGGACGAGTTGCTGAGCCAGACGGGCGGTGCTGTTAGCAATGGAGGCGCTATGAGCCCTCAGCCCAACCACACAGACAACAACAATGACGCCAAAAAGGTGAGTCCTCCAACATTTTTAACTACTGTAGCTGTTTAGTAAATATATATATTGTAAGTGAAATATTTTTAACTTTATGAATATTAAATATTAAACAAAAATATGTTAATGGTCAATTTCTACTCGGTGTAACGTGATCGCTTATCCAAATATTATATGCTTGGGTACATCAACGAGTCTTATTAACTTATGGCTTTAATAGATCCTAATGTCCACACAAGTAACCTACGTACAATTTAAAAATACCAACGTAACGCTCGTGTAATACTCATGTATCCTTGCAAGGGTTACTCGGGATATATTATCATATTTTTTTTTTTATCATTAGCCATGCAACTGTAAGACAACTTTTAAAAAGCCATTTATTTGCTGTTTTAAATGACTATTGTACCGAATAAATAATACGCAATGAAAATAACCACTAATACACTCAATAAAGCAAATATTCATCAACGAAACCCCTGTATACAATGGGCGACTCGATATATTTAATTACTCCGGCTTCGGCGACAATGAGCGTAAAGAGGCACAGCATTGACAGGACCATTGTCACATTGTCTACAGCTGTGGTATTGTAACATATCAATCGTGCCAATGCAGGAACCCTGTAGCAATACAAGACAATGCCCATTGCCCACCTGTTGGAACCGTATTGATGTTACGATAATTAGTGTAGCCCTTTGAAGGGTTCAAACGTAAAGAATGGGGCTTTCAATCGTTTTTGGTGCGGTTTTAGTATGTGCAATGCTGAGGATTTTAACAAAGGTTATTGTTGGTTCAACATTGAATTACATGATTTGTTAATTTTCGTACTTAAGTGGTTATATAATTTGTTCATGTATTTTGTAAATAGTGGTTGTGTCGATGAATTACAAGGTTGGGCATAAAAAGTAGATCCATAGTATGAACTAAATGGTAATAGGGTTAAAAAAATATTACCTCGTCTTGTGTGTCATTCACCTCATAAAGACCGCTAACTCCATATAGGCGTTTCTTGTAAAAACATTACATTCCTTCGGACTCCTCTCGCCCTATGGTTTTGTGTATTGCACATAAATTAATTGAATTCATCAAACAGAGGTGACACAAAATAAAGAACTAAACCTAAAAGGGAAAATGGTGCTATAAGCTAATTCGCAATGCATGGCAAAGTTAAGCTCCATGCCTCCAACTGTCATTACATGTTCAATTTTAAATCATTATAGTGCGAAGTTTGAATCTTCTAAATAGTTCTAAGTTTGCGTTCTAGTTGATGAACGCAATACGCGGGGTTTAAAGATCGCTTCTAGTTATGTAGAAAGAAAACAAGGGCTCGTAAAAATGTCGTATTGTACAATAATCCGTGCAAATTTATTGTTATGTCGAATCTACTATTTGTTTCTCATACTTGCTTTTTTGTACGCTGGTAATACGAAAAGCGTAAGGAAGTAAAATTACAACATTCTAAGTAAAAGCTTTTAAATACATTCTAGCAAGAAAACCAAAATATAAAAATATTCTGAAAAACACTTTTGTTTCTGCGTATAAATGGCTACATGTTTCATGTTTGCGTATGTTGACAAGCTTTACATTTTCCCCATCGAATCAACATAATTCCTGGATATCAAGAATGTTCAATTATTTATACATTTCCAAATCACTTAGCGGAGTAGCAGGACATCAGTAGCAATGTTGCCAGCTTTGGCCGGAACTTGGTTGATTGAGGCCCCTATCCTATACATAACACATGAGCCAGTCCCTTTGAATAATATTTTACCTACATTCCTCCCTTACATAAACAAACACGGAATCACATTCTGATGCATCCATACGTCTTCGGAACATCCAAAATGCGCGTTTGATGTCGGAAACGCCCCGACATGGAAAACAAACGGCTTTTTACTGGAAACCTCTCACTTTAGCGCTGCTCGCGTATAATACACGTTTGTTATGGACGATTTGTATGCTGCGGGGTGTTGTGAGAAGTGTTGCTGATTTTGGATACATTTACTTATCAGTTTGAAATCGTTGAAGGTTGTACGACTAAAGAAGACCAAAGAGTCCAAAGGGTGTATAATGTTTTACGCAACGAGAACCCCTATAACATAATTTGTTTTACTATAATCTATTGTATCACCCGCACGATATGAAATCATACATTATTATTTCAGTGAAAATGTTCTTGTATAATATGTTTTTCTACGTGTTGCTTTCCAAATTATTAGCGTAATCGGTGTAAGAGTGCAGGGTTTGTTCCCTGGCTTATTCATAAATATTTGAGGGAACTAGAGTTTGATTTTTTATACAAAAACCACTGAATGGAAAAAAACAAAACCTCGTGACGGTGATTTGTTTTAAAAATTTGCAAACTTTAACATTTATTAAAAAAATGTTTCTTACAAAATATTCTAATAGCTAAAATGTGAAGGTCTGATTAATTTTGCGAAAATGTTAATTAAATCTACCCAGAATTTTTAATTACTTGATAAGCTTACTGCATTTTTTGTACCTTATGTAAAGTAATTAACATACTTTTAAGCTGTTCCCCTTGTTTCCATGTAATCGTATCGACCAAGTAAGCTGGCGGCTGCTACAAGGGAACGTCGTGTTGTGTAATGGTAACTCCTTCAGGCGCTTGCCGATACTCGTCACTTGCTATACAAGGATTATACATTTTTATATCGTTTCAGCGTTATAGGATAGGGTAGTGACCAGAAAAATAATGTAGTGATATTATGTATCTTGGATTAAACCCTTAAAACAATATCAGTGCGGGAGAGAAAATACTTTTGTTGTTGTTAACTTAACTTAGTGTAACTTAGACTAAAGTTCTTAAATTAGTATCAGTACATTAAACAAATGTCTTTTAACCCATGTTATACCATTAATATAACTGATTTCAACTTTTACTGAACCCATTAATATAGAAAATTCTGATCGTATCATGACTGAAGTACCCCAAATTCAAAACTTAGTAGACTTAAGACATTTCATTCTATCTCTGCATTACAGAAAAAATATGTTCATAATTACCATAACTTAAACTAGTTTGAAGACCTTTTATTCAGTTTTATTGCGTTAAATGAAAATTATTTCGTTACAACCTCATTAATATCACTGAGTCTTACTTTTACTGATTTGAAAGAAAATGAAACCTCACTAACCGATACTAATTTAGGTAAAACCTAATTGAACGTCAGATTACACAACAACATATTAATACAAAAAGAATTTTTCTATTGTCTCTTATATGATATAATTTTTTTGATAAAAAAATATATTCTCGCATTTTCTACTTCATTGTGTAAAAGAGCTAAATATTAAAATCCATATCGTAAGCCCTACACAAAACAAAATTGTGTCATATTTTTAACTTTCATCCCAGCTTTAGGCAATACGTTCGGCAGTAGTGTTCATCCTATCAGGGAATTATATCGACATATAAGCCAAATCAATTTGTTTTTACACCACGATCCGGCGAGCCCGTATTAAATGTCGACGTTTGAAGTCTTTATTAGTTGAGTAAAACCGGGGTCCCACCTGTAATCAAATCTGGATTTTCACTGCTTTAATAAAGCCTCGGCTTTTGGAAAATCCGTCAATTCCCCTCTCATTGTCACATCGCGAATCAAAGTCTAATGAATCCCTCCCGCGTGGACGAAGCCTCTCCCAGGTGGGGGGAAGGGGGGGAGGTGGACAAGTTTAAGTAATTAGCGAGATAAGATTTTTAACTTTTAATATCATAATTATTGAGGCAGCTTTTCGAGTGGTTGGTGTCAGGCTTTGAAGTCCCCTCCTCCAACTCTTTCGCCTCATTCGTGAAAATTTCTAAAATTTAAGATACTTTAAATAATTATCCGGCAATACGCACCAAAAAGTATTAGGGCATTTAACCTAGTAATATTTTTCTAAGAATCAGTTTGGATATAAAGTAATCATCTTCGTTTACTATGGAAGGTTTGAGAGGGTATTGTGAAGCAAATTGCATGTTAACATGGATGTGAAATTAAGCAATCTAAGCTGATGGGAATTCATACGTTTCATCTGTGCCATTTTTGATGGTTATCGAAGAGTATTGTATAAACAATCGTGTATGACAATCAGGCAAAACAGGTCAAAGGTAATACAGAATAGCAGAAGAATAATTTACATTATTGTTTTGTAAGTGACAATTATATAAATGAAGGTTTTGTACGTATTGACCTTGTACCCATAAAAAGGAGAACATTTCGCAAGGAAAGATAATTCTTTGATGAAATATTTTAGCGACACTTCGATTTATAATCTAGCCCATTCGGGGTAAATTAATATCAAATTACATAAAGGAAAAGTCTTAAAAAAAGAGTTTCGCCTGAAATGGTGTTTAATATCAATTAAATAAAAATACATTTATTTTACATCCCAAGAAAATATCAGTTTGTTTTACTGGCAAGTTTTTTTTCATGAGAGGGGTCGGGTAATCTAGTTAAACAGTAAACTTAAACAGTTAATCCAAATTGTAAAGAAACTCATGATCGTCCTGTTTAATTTAAGGGCGCGCAGTAAACAAAAATCACCGCGTTGACATCTTTATCGTGACATAAACCGGGATGAAATTTATCGCGTCCTTCCACTTCCCTTTCTAGAGGATAGTTGCATCTTTTAGAATTCAGAACTTATTTTAGGTATTGGTGAACATCTTTAAAGTTTTGTTAACTTGTTGTTAATATTCCTTTACGCGATCACATCCATACATTAGATCCTTAAAACTCATCTTCTCCTCGTATGATAGTAACTGTATCTGATTACTGAAGCAATCACAAGTGTCGAGGCGATTCCTAACAAGACAGGGACAATCACCAGTTTCAAGCCACTTGTATTACAAGGCTTGTAGTTGCTTGTACGGTGGGCGGTTACAAGCCATTACTAGGTATTAATTATAGATACACATCTGAGCAGAACAGTGGCATACACGCAGATGCTAAAGTGTTATGTCTTCGTGAAGACGTGCAAACATAGGGGTTGGGTGAAATATGTCAATA